CTAAGAACCAAGTTATGTTATACAGCATTGTGTATGTAATTGATTCCATGCAATTCTGTGTTTTAAATGCTTAAAATGACAATCCTTATGTTATATGTACTTTGCTACAATTTAAGAAATGGAAAAAAAGTATACAGTACAATGGCAGAAATTTTTTTTAAAAATATGGCTGAAAAGAGGTCCAAGAGGTCCTAAACTGAGCAAGAAAAATAAATGCATTTTTAAAAACATTTATCCTTTTACTTTGCTCTTATATCAATATCCTGAGGTATTTGCTTGAGAAGTACAATAAAGAGAATGTGAGGGAAAAAATTATTTCCCTTTGGCAGTTCTTTTAATTGAGATAAAACTCATAACATAAAATTCACCATTTGACTACTTAAAAATGCACAATATGTGGTGTTTAGTTTATTCACAGTATTGTGCAACCACCACGACTATACAATTTCAGAACATTTTCATAACCCCCCAAAGCAACCCCTATCCGTTAAGCAGCCATTTCTCTTTTCTCCACCCTAGGCAACCTAGTAATCTACTTTCTGTCTCTATGGACTCACCTCCTCTGGACATTTGACATAAATGGAATCACAGAGTATGTGGATTTTTATGTCTGGCTTTCTTCACTAATGTAATGTTTTTATGGTTTATCTACGTGTTATAGCATGTATCAATACTTCATTCCCTTTTATGGCTTAATAGTATTCCATTCTGTGCATGTGGGTACTTCAAAAATTTCATGGAAAGATTAGTAAATTTTTTTTTTTTTTTGTCTTTTGTCTTTTTCCATGTCCGGCAACGGGATCGCAACCCTCGGTGTTGCTCCCGCGCCTCCCTCAGCCAGTGAGTGGGAGCTGGTCCATATGTGGGATCCGAACCCTCGGGCGGGAGCGCCGCCGTGCTTCCCAAGCGGCGCACTACCCATTGCGCCACCGGGCCGGCCCCAAGATTAGTAAATTTTTTAATTGTATTTTTTCACTAACTTTTTGAAGTACACTTGTGTTTAGGTCTTCTTTAATGTATTTAATTTTTTTGTAGCTTTTTTTTTTGTACAAGTTTTTGCTTCTTTGGTTAAATTTATGTGAAATAACTGCTACTACTCAAAGATAAAAACATCAGAAATAATGAAAAATAGGCAAAGGACTAGAATAGACATTTCCCCAGTAATGACATCTAAATGGACAGTATGGACATGAAAAGATGCTCAATGTCACTAGTTAGAAAAGTGAAAATCAGGGGCCGGCCCGGTGGCGCACTGCTACAGTGC